CACGAGCTCTGAAATGAAAGGCGCCTTGTTTTGACAACTGTATCTAATTCATAAGTGACATCATGGCGAGAAATTGTGGACACTAGGGGGCGGAGCTAAAGTATAATATATTCTGCGTTCATAAATGTCTTGGTTTCCACCAGTGGCTTATAACGCTTTTTTCGAGGCTTTTTTAACCGCTCAGGGTTAATTATTGGATGGTTAAACCCCGTTCATAAGAAATTTTAGCTTGTCGGGGCAAACAGAAACGCTAGACATCCGAAACGTTTCTGTGTTTATATGTTTTGCTCGATTGACCCATCTGACCTTTGCGAAAAAAATTATATACCCACTTTTACACGCATCTGAAGTCTTGCCGACAATGTTTACGAATATATATATAATATTTTGTTGCCTAGAAACTATAAGGTATGGTTACAAAGCTCCTCTGCTGTAGAGGCTTATTTAGAGCATACAAAATGGAGGCATCAGCCATATTTCGAAGAAGAAGCACCAACTTGTTGCTGTTATTTTGGTCAAATTTTGCGTGCGGCGTCATATTTCAAAGGCTAAAATACGTGAAAATTCACCAAAAATACATGGCTATACCGAAGGGGGAATAAAGTGTGCTGGTTTGGTCTAAATTGGGCTTAGAAATGCAATGTCTTGTCAAGTCAAATCAAATCAGATTGAAAACTTTGCATATGTTCAATATTTCGTCTGAAAATGGATTTTTTTGAGGTCTGCTTGACGTATTTGTGCTGTTTCACAATACAATTCCTAACTAAAATGCTTCATATTTAATTATTGCGATACCGAATTGCGGTTAAGTCCAGATATTCTAAACTATATCTTGGAAGTTAGGTTTTAACCAGTACAAACTAAAACAGATTGAACACTTTGAATTGTAGCGCTAGGTTAAGAGCTAGGGCGATTTTTTCGCTAACTCCCATACAAAACATAAGAGTGACGGCGGCTATATTTCTACAAAATATTTTCTAAGTCCAAGCACTCAATGCGCGTGCGTGACCATTATTTCTCGCACATGTACAGTAGTGAGACATGAAAGAATTATTTTCTGTACCAAGCCGATTGGGCACTGCCAGATTATGCGTTCTGTAACAATAGTGACGAAACAAATAAAGAAAAAAATAATTGTAATGATTTCTTTAAATATTTTGCGCCTGTACGAATGTTAAGACAATCTCCATAAAACAAAATGATTTCGGCATGCTTAGCCTGCGAACAGGCTCTCAAGCTGAATTGAGAGCCTGCATCGATGACTAATGAATTTGAATATCTGCCCCGTAACGTTCTTTTTTCCAAATATGGAATGTCTATCCTTATATGGTGTTGTTTACAACTTTCGTACAAACTAAATTTAGACCGTGCAAACTAAATTTAGACTGTACAGTTTATACTGTTTTTCGAAATATAAGATATTCAAGCAAAAGTTCAAATGTTTTAAATACTGTTTTCTCAAAACAGAACATTTCGTGCTTTGAGATAAGACGGCCAAGACCAATTTGATCAGTTAATGTGTTTTTTTATGCATAATGCCAGCAGTTGACATATATAGAGCACAGCGGAAACATATAAATTATAGCATCTGACCAATGATAATTTCGCGTCACGATTTGAGACGCAGATATTCAAATTCATTAGTCATCGATGCAGGCTCTCAATTCAGCTTGAGAGCCTGTTCGCAGGCTACGGCATGCTTATTTTTTATGTAAACATATTTAGAATCATTTTTCTCTAAGAGTTGAATTTCATCGAGGGAGATTATGCCATATTAAAATTAACTGTAGTATATCGACGATTTAAATAAAAAAACCAACAAGATGATAAAGAAAAAGATAATAATATTAGTTGGTTATGTTAAAGCTTAACAACAAAATGACGAATCATGCACAGAGTTGGCAATTGTTCTGAATTGACTAACATTTGCACATTATGCAGTAGAGTGTGCGTCGGATCGGAATGACCTCTCTGAATCCGATGGTTTGTCTCAGTTCTCAATCCGAATCTGGTCCGATCCGAAGATGAAGAAAGCAATCCGATCCGATCCGAAGAATGTTTATAAAATCCGATCCGATTCGATGCTAAATTCGTAATGCGATCCGATCCGAACTTAATAAGTAATTATATACAGCGTGCGTTAATTATTCGGTGTATGAGCGTATTTTTTCATGATCATAAACGGTATACTGGAAATAATGAATTTCAAGCAAAATAAGCAGATAGGAATCCGATAAAAATTGCAGGGCGATATCACATAATTTATATGTCTACGAGCATTTACACGTTAACAGCAGTTTATTTCGATTAGAATTAGCGTTGGCTAGTTATTATAACAATGCAAGAGCTTGAGCTGGGTTTACAGGTTAAAACATCTTAAAGTTTACTGTATCACTAATAAATCTCATTGTCAGCTGTGCTTCACGACACATAAACCTAACAAACTAAACAAAAAACCACAACATTCCTATATCCCAATTCCAGTGTTTCGTTTGTCAGAAATATACGTCAAAAAAACTCAAACACTTTTTCAGTATACTTTACTGTCAGCACCCGGCATAATATAGAATTACTCCGCTTCGACCAAATAACTCGGCTTACTCGGCTCCAAAGCCTTCCAGGCACTTCCTGCCATGTATATAGATATTACAGAACTATCTTAATTTGTTAAAATATACGAGTAACTCGACGCAATACAAGAAAAAAAGAAATCCGATCCGAAAAAAACCCGACAAAATCCGATCCGATCCGACAACAATAAAAAGAAATCCCATGCAATCCGGTCCGAGTATTTATTCAGATCGGATTGGAATCCCTTTTATTGTTGTTACAAGAAAAAACCCAAATCCGGTCCGACAAAAAACATACAAAATCTGATCCGATCCGATAACAATAAAAAGAAATCCAATCCAATCCGATCCGAGTAATTTACTGTCCGAATCCGATCGGATTGGATCGGATTCGGATCGGATTGTACAGCTTTATTATGCAGTGACGTCTGGTTATGTGCATTAGCTACAATACTGGCAAAAATTATTGTGGACGCCGCGTGCGTCAAACAGAAATAGATGTATTTTTACAGAATTAACCCAGAGAAAATTTCTCCTCCTCCTACCCCCAATTCAATGTTGGTAAATGAAACTTTTAAAATTTAAATACAAAAGACAGCAAATTCGGCCACGTACAAATAACTTTCTGTCGTTAGTTTGGAATATCACGAAACTTCCTGACAGGATAGAAATTACCATTCCTGAAATTCGTATCGATTTTGTTTTTCGATTTTGTTACATTTTGGCGGGAAAATGACGTGCCAACTTTGGCGCCAAAAAAATAAACACGAGCTAAGAACATTCTAGTAACTTTTTTGAAGAGATTGTCCTATAAGGATCTCAAAACTGTAAAAACATTAAAAATACAACGAGGCAGTGCGAAGATATGGCGATTCAAAGTTCGAAAAAAATCTATTTTTAGTAACAAAATGGCGGATTTTTCAAAATTTTAAGCACCATATCTTTGCACTGCTTTGGCGTATTTTCAATATTTTTACAGTTCTGTGATCCTTATAGGACAATCTCTTCTTAGCTCGTGTTTATTTTTTTGGCGCCAAAGCTGGCACGTCATTTTCCCGCCAAAATGTAACAAAATCGAAAAACAAAATCGTTACGAATTTCAGGAATGGCAAGTTCTATCCTGTCAGGAAGTTTCGTGATATTCCAAACTAACGACAGAAAGTTATTTGTACGTGGACGAATTTGCTGTCTTTTGTGCCAACCGTGAGAAACAACATTGAATAGGTTGCAGGGGGTGACACATTTCATGAAAGAACGTCGCGATGTTAATATTGACGTTAGAAAAGTTAGGTGTCCACATAATTTTTTGCCTGGATATAGTAGTTTATCTAAGCCATGCAAAAATATGTGTACTTCCTGAATTTCTGATATGCCTATGCTTGTTTATGCATGCTTATACACAGCTGATATTCCGGCTTCAATGCAATTTTTAACCAATTAAGATATTAAAACACCGGCCAGAATTAGTGCCCTCCCCATGCTTAAACTCAGAACGGCGCTAACACTGCGCTGTCTCACGAATGAGATTGGAGGTTGACTAACCGGTGTAGGCTTACCTGTCGTCGTTAGTCCTTCTCAGTAACTCAGGTTAATATATTGACGCACTCTCATATCTAGAGTACGTTGTAGCGATGCTGAAGAGAAGAATAATTATATAATGAAGAGAAAACTTTCACGAACCTGCCGACTAAAGTCTCCGGTAAAAGCTGCCATTCTGAAAATCGAAGATCAATTTAAAGAGTTAAGAAAATTGGTCTTGAAAGAATCAGCGAAAGTTCAAAATGCAGTTAAGAATATTGCAAATCTGCTCAAAAAAACCATTAACGGTAAACCTTACAATAGTCTTGAGGATTAACTAAGCGAAAGTTTTTCTAGAATCTGTCCCGATTTAGTTTAGCTAATTAAACTAAAAATACTTTTTGTTATAATAGGCAAGAACTGCGCTGATTTATACAAAAAGGGAATAAAAAAAAGTGGAGTTTATCAGATTAATCCAGATAACAAGGGCATTTTCAATGTCTTCTGTGATATGACAACATCCGGGGGAGGATGGGCTGTGTTTCAACGCCGTCATGACGGAAGTGTTGATTTTTACCGAGGATGGCAAGATTACAAACATGGTTTTGGTGATTTGAAAGGAGAATTCTGGCTCGGGCTGGACAAAATCAACAGACTAACAACCGCTGCACAAAATTAATTTCGTATTGACATGGAGGATACATCTGGAAACAAGAAATACGCAGAATATGATTTCTTCGCTGTCACTAGTGAGCAAAAGAAATATCAATTGAGTCTTGGAACGTATGCTGGTAAGCAATTTCATTTATTCATGTTTGTGAAATCCGTGCACTTCAAGGACCGTCTGCTAGCTGATTTGCTTCCTCTTGAAGGAATTTTAAGCCTAGCTACGGCAAATTAATTCCCCAGTATTATACTCTTACTATATGTATCTTCCTGCCATGATAGTTTGAGAAAACTGCATGAATCTAAAGGCGGATTTCCAGTCCTTGCACGAAGCTCCTCGCCGCTCGCTGCGAGTGCATGCATGAGCACTTTCATCCAATCACAATGCCAAACAGTTAATTTTAATTACATATGCAAGCACTTGCAGCGAGCTGCGAGGAGCTTCGTGCGAGGACTGGAAAACCGCCTTAATTCTAATACATGTAACTGGCATGAAATTGAGCATATGGGCTTCTTACATAAATGCTAATCCGTGGTGTACGGATTTTTGATTGAGCAATTGAGAAACCTGGCCATCATTCTACATATAATGCAGTCGAAGTCGTAACAATTGCCTTCGTCGAAATCTTCGTAAAACATTGTCCTCATTGTGTCCTTATGGAAAACAGTCAGTCCGTCGGTCGGTCGGTCGGTCGGTCGGTCGGTCGGTCGGTCGGTCCGTCGGTCTGTCGGTCGGTCATTTATTTGCCTCCCTAATGGAAGAGATTATTACAAACACTTTTACAATACAAAATATAACTAAGTAATAATTACATAATATGAGGATAAATCCTTTAGAATGCAACCAGTTTTGACAATTAAATAGTTCGATGCAAAATATAAGCAGAATGTACTCTAAAATCGTCTAAAAGTTCCTGTCGTAACGCAGTATGCGGCCCAAGGACAACATCAAGAAACTCTTCATCATCAAGTTGACTAATATATGCACAGAAGTCCAAAGGCATGTTGTCCAGTTTCCACCTCCAAAAGTTTTCTCTTAATAATTCATGACTAGCATTACATCTCAGAACCGCATGAACAACCGGATATCCGCGAGTAACGCCACAATCATAGCACTCATAGACCACCACGCGAGAATTAAACCTTGTTCCATTTACTGAAAACGAGTTGCATAACAACCTTATTACTGTCATCACGAACGTACTAATTGCAGGGTATCGTTGAAGGAGGCTATACCAACACGAGACGCTTAACTCTTGATGAACTCGCAAATATCGATCCATAACACACTTTGATGCAATTTTTTCTCTCCACATATCTTTTTCCGTATTATTAATCGCTTTGACAATCACTCTCTTCCAATGCACTTTTGGTGGAAAGGTACACAACCACAAGGTACACAACCACAAGTTGTGTTTACGCACAATCCTCATGACATCAGCCACAAAACGAGTTGAACTTTTCTTTCCTATACCTCCAGCGAATAATTCTTACCACCACCATCAACAGCTTTCTTCGTGCAAGATCATGAGACGAATTAATAAGTCGCCCCCAAAAGACAACTTCGTTTTGTTTATTTCTCCTTCAATGCTCCACAAGCCCAAAAGACGCCTTGCTACCGAACCAGACGTTTCCGGTAACAGTCCTTCAGTTACACGTACAAAAATATTTTGACATTTTTCTCTGTTAAGGCATTTTCCTCTGTCAAGTTGCCATAATTCGCTGCCATATAACATTTTCGGTAGCACTACTCTTTTCCATAATTTCAGTTGCTGTAACAGGATTAATCCCACCTGATCTACACCCTACCGACGCAAGATCCACTCCAGCCGCATAACCCTCCTTAACCACCCGATTAGCACGTTGTCTCCGATTGTTCGGCTGCCGGCCGGGCTGTACTATAGTATATTATTCGTTCAAAAAATGCGCGCATTTCGGAGACGGGTTCTAGAATGTTTCATAAGCAGAAAACCACCAAAATTACATTAAATTTTCCGAAAATCATCGAAATGCATCTAAATTCATCTTCCTAATACATAGAGCTAGCTTTGCGACAGGTAAATAAACGAGAAAAAAATTACGGCAAAGAGAAAATTGGAGAATTATTCGCACTCACTCTGAGATTCGAACTTACGACACTCGGCATACACGCTAAGTGTTATTCCTCTGCGCCATCACGTCTTACGCGGAAAATATGTTAATTTATTGTATATATAGAGGTTATTCTTAGCCAGCACGATTTATGATTGCGTAAATACGTATACCATTGTACACGGCCAAGGGTACAGTACCAGCGGAGCCGTATCTACTCTTTAATACAATATTTACAATATATCACGGCATAGATCACGGCTACCAGCCGGGGTTATTTAACTGTCATACAATACTACAACGCAATACGAGTGTCAGCCGAGCCTGTCTGTAGTATACTATAGTATACTACAATACATCACGGCTACCAGCCGGCAATACGGTTATCAGCCGGGCGTGTCTGTAGTATACTATACTATAGGACCTATAGTGTACTATAAAACATCACGGCTACCAGCCGGGGTTATTGTTGTTGTTGATTAAATATATTTAACTGTAATACAATACTACAATGCAATACGACTGTCAGTCAAGCCTGTAAGTAGTATACTGTAGTATACTACAATATAACCTGCGATCAGGCTTTATTTTACAAATAATAGCCTGACACAATCCTTAATCCGATCGCTTTCCACCCACAGCAAAGTTTATATTTAGTATCCAAATCAAAATGACGCAGGAGAAATTTAAATTTCACACAACGACAACAACAATCTAATCAATAGTCGTGATCATTATAAATATATCAACGACAATATATAATGTAATTAGCACCAACCAATCAAATGGCAGATTAAAAAATCTTTTGTCTCATAAACCAATCAGATTTACAACCGAAATACGGTTGTAAAACATGGACTTTTGTTAAGATTTGTATCAGGCCTATTTATTTATTTGTAGGCCTGATCGCAGGTTAACTACAATACATCACGGCTACCAGCCGGCAATACGGCTATCAGCCGATCCTGTCTGTAATATACTATAGTATACTACAATACATCGCGGCTATCAGCCGGCAATACGGCTTTATAAAATAACATGTACATAATGCGTTCTCTGATTGGTCGAAACCTGTGTTTCGATCAGGCCATCCAAACATTTAAAGTGCTTTGGCGGGAATTTTAAACTTTGTTGTTATTTCATAAAACAATTACTTTATGGTTTCCGTGTTCGGATGGCCTGATCCAAACACCTGGGAATGTTGCTCGAGTTAATTAAGAAAAGCGCGCAAAATCACTCGCCTTCGGCTCGTGTTTCGCACGCTTTGCTTAACTCTCGCAACATTTCCGCATGTTTGGATCAGGCCATACAAACACGGAAACCATAAAGTAATTGTATAATCAGCCGATCCTGTCTGTAGTTACCAGCCGAGGTTATTTTTAACTGTGATACAATACTACAATGGAATATGGCTATCAGCCGACAGCCGGACCTGTCTATAGTATACAATAGCTATAGTATACTACAAAACAATGAAACATCACGGCTACCAGCCGGGGTTATTTAACGGTAATAATAATATATTAATAATATATTATTTTATACTGTAATAATATATTATATTTTATTTATTTCCTATCACCCGCCTGCCTGTCTGTAGTATACTATAGTATACTACAGACAGGCCCGGCTGATAGCCGTATTGTCGGCTGGTAGCCGTGACGTATTGTAGTATACTACAGTATACTACTTACAGGCTTGGCTGACAGTCGTATTGCATTGTAGTATTGTATGACAGTTAAATAACCCAGGCTGGTAGCCGTGATCTATGCCGAGATGTATTGTAAATGTTGTATTAAAGAGAAGATACGGCTCCGCTGGTACTGTAACCTTGGCCGTGTACAATGGTGTACGTATTTAGGCAATCATAAATCGCGCTGGCTAAGAATAACCTCTATATATACAATAAATTAACATATTTTCCGCGTAAAACGTGGTGGCGCAGGGGAACAACACTTAGCGTACGTGTATGCCGAGGGTCGTAAGTTCAAGTCTCAGAGTGAGCGCGAATAATTCTCAATTTTTCTCTTTGCCGTAATTTTTTTCTCGTTTATTTACCTGTCGCACAGCTAGCTCTATGCATTGGGAAGATGAATTTAGATGCATTTCGATGATTTTCGGAAAATTTAATGTAATTTTGGTGGTTTTCTGCTTATGAAACATTCTAGAACCAGTCTCCGAAATGCGCGCATTTTTTGAACGAATAGTATACTATAGTACAGCAAAGTACAGCCCGGCTGGCAGCCGAGCAATCGGAGACAGAATTTCCGGCTGGCAGCCGGCGTCAAACGTGCTAATCGGGTGCCTTAACCGCATTTCCAATTGGCTTCATATCATTGGCCCGAACATGCCATATTTCCCCCCAATTTTTCCAAACATCTTTTTCAGCAAGTTTATAGTTACCGAGATACCAGTTCCGTGATTCTATATTCTTCAGTCGATCAGCAGATTTCTCTCCAAAAACCATTGTAACGGTTTTTGTCTGATTGAATATTATTCTCCATGTTATACCCTAATCAACTAATAAATTCAGCATTAAATCTAAACCTTATTTTAAACGAGAAATCATTGGATAAGGTCATCAGCATATATCGGCAAACTATAATACATTCCATAAACAACAACCCCAACCTTAGCTGCATGCAATAATGTTATTAAATCATTCACAAAGACTGTAAACAGACACGAAGATAAAATGCCACCCTGTCGAGTTCCTTGAGGAAGATCGTAGCACCTAGAGAAACAGTTACCAATACGAACCACTTCCCTCATCCCACTATATACCATTGATGTATGAGTCTTAGACATTTCCCCCTAATTCCCATGTCATAGTACGTACAGTTTATGCAACATTCCATTTATCCAAAGATTGTCAAAAGCCTTCTTAAACTCAACGTAACAAACATAAACTTTATCTCCCTCTTCACAACAGTGTTTGATTGTTTCATCAATAAGGAATGATGTCGTCAGAGCATCATGTTCACTCCTATAAGCTCCTTGTAATGTAAATTGCAATTTGGTTTCTGATTTATTCTCG